ACTATGAGTCAGATCTGACTCGATGGCAGTGGGTTTGGTTTTTGGTTTATATATCCTCAGATCAATACCCTAACCATATCCAAATGGGAAGTCTAGAATATAATTGTCAATAACTCATGACAGTCACAGCCTTTATGGGTTATTTTTAGTTTTCAATCTGATAAAGCCCAACTCAAGTGAGAATAGTGGGGACAAGGGTGGAAGTTTTAAAACTCACAAGAGTTAATTGTTTTCAAATAACAACTTTCTGTAGAGAACTAAAAAATATGGAACTCTAGAAATATTATTAAAATTTGTATCTCCTTCTTAGTTTTTAAAACCCCTTCTATAACAATCATTGTACTTAATTTAAAAAAAATTATCTTTAGAAGTATATATCTATTCCATGTGAGTTTTCTTCATAATACAAAAAAAAATGGTATATAGTTATATTAACTCTACTACATTATGAAATATGTCATCTTAACTTTTGCATTGCATCTTGAAAAGATGAAACATATTAGCTATATGTAAAGAAACAGTAAATATAAAATACACTTAAGATTTCTATGTATTTTCAATTTTAATGATCTAAATTTAAAAATACATACAAAGAAAACGACAGGATGACCTCTGTCTTAGCTCTCTAGTCCTGCTATAACAGAAATACCACAAATGGATGACTTTAACAAATAGAAATTTACTTTCTCACAATTTAGAAGGCTAGAATCTAAATTTAGGGTGCTGGGATGGCGTAGTGCCTAAAGCATTTGACTGCCAATCAGAAGGCTGGAGGTTCAAACTCACCAGCCACTCCTTGGAAGGAAGGCTGGATATCTACTTCCATAGAGATACCCCCTTGGAAACCCAAGGAGGGGTCGCTATGAGTCGCAATCAACGCAAAGACAGTGAGTTTGGTTTGGTTGTTTTTGCTCTAGGGGAAGGCTTTCATTCTCTGTCACCTCTGGAGGAAGTTCCTCTCTTTGAGTTTCTGCTCCTGAGTGCTATTCATGGGGCTTGGCATCTCTCTTCCCCTATATCTGCTTCCTTATTTAATCTCTTTTTATATTTCAAAACAGCTTGACTCAAGATACACCCTACACTAATCCTGCCTCATTACCATAACAAAGACAACACATTCCCAAATGGGATTTTAACCACAGATATAGATGTTACTCATTGCCGCAGAGTTGGATCCCACTCATAGCGACCCCTCCATGGGTTTCTGAGGCAGTATCACTGCGGAAGTAGATTGCTCAACCTTCCTTCCTAGGAGTGGCTGGTGGGTTTGAACCGACAGCCTTCTGGTTAGCAGTCAAGTGCCTTAGGCACTATGCCACCATATATTGGAGGCATGATTCAATCCATAACAACTTCCCCCACATACTCATTGAAGCTTCACTATTATCAACATTCTTACATGTATGTTTCTAAATACAAATTTCAAACCATATAGAATTTATAAGGCAGGAAGAGTGCAGATAGAAATTTTTCATTCATCACGGTGGATGTATTCTCTACCTGAGAATAATCTCCAGCTACAAAGTGAACAAGTGAGAAGGGATAGAAACAATGAATAATTTTAAGTTGATATATTTGTAGAATAAAAAGCTAGAAGGACATCTGAAAGTACTCTTACTCTACCCAAATCAACAATTAGACTTTATCTCACTGTGTGTGGTAAAAGTGTTAAAAAATGTCAGACCTACAATTCACTTATTGGAGAAATGAATAAATTTAGGAAGAGCCAGTCAAAATGTTTCTAAATAGAAGCTTTCCAGTTTGGAGTGGGAAAATGTGTAGTTCAAAAATTTTATAACCAACCACCTTGACATTCATGTTTTAAGTCAAATGAAACACATTTTGAAATCTATAAGGGCTTATTCTATATATTTCTTATATCCAGAAATACAGAAAAGCCACACTTGGATGAGATAAAATAAATTATGTCTGTACATTATGCATATGGAAAAATCCAAATACATTTGCATGTAAATCTGCAGATGATTATTCGCTAGGAATTAATTACAAACTATAGGGAATTAACCATTTTTATTGTATTGAATAAATAGATAAACTAAACCAATGATCATGAAATAACACACACATAAATTAAAAGAAAACAAATCCAGTGGTAAACAACTTAGAAACCGTGTATTATTATAGGCATGTTTCACATCAGGCACAAAGAGTAGTACTGTCTCTAGACCAATATTCTGCTTTGGAGTTTGATGATAATCTGCTAGGGGTTGAGGGTGATGGCCATAAGGATATTATGTATAAATTAAGCACATAACTATAGACCAAAAAATATATATATACAAAGTAACAGAAAATTTACTAGTCTAAATTTGATGAATGCTTATCTATATCTGTGTGGACCAATGGCCTTCTAATCAGTTCAATTTGGTACATAAAAGGAATGACTTTTATCACTCTAGCTTCTTGGCACAGAATATTGCCTTTCTGTGGTAAAGGTACTGGACCTTTATGGGTGAGAGAAAGAATATGTTTTATCAAACATCATATTATTCCCCAAAATATATAATGTTTCAAAATCAATATTTAAATATGGGCAGTAGAATATAACATCTTAAATCTAAAGGAAATATTACAAGTGCTTTTAATGAAGAACAAAGTTGTATGAGTAATAAAGCAAATGTAGAAATCATACATAACAATCACTGATGTGAGTTACGAAAGAACAGCAACACTAAACTCCCTGGAGAGGAGTCAGACTCATAGAAAGGCCTCGCTTGGCCCCTTGGCAAAACTTGGGGAGAATGAATAAATAAAATAATAAAATGAAATAATAAATCATATATATATATATATAGTTTTAAACGATTCCTCACTTAAATCAATTAGATAAACTGTAAAATTACTAATTTCAAAAAAAGATAAGCGTATTTCAGTGGTAATTTCTAAAATCATGTACACAATTTTAAGTTCACTGCAATTTTCTCTCTTGAACAGTTCATGAAATGATCTTGAATTACATTATTTTATTTAAATTTATGAACTTAGAAATGGCCACATAGGTTTCCAAGTAAAGTGTATAGTTTCACCAAAATATACTTCATTGCAATTCCCCTTAATCATCCTCATTAGTAACATCTGTCAATATACGGTATATATCTAAAGAAGGGTATAAAATTTTATTTATATAATTTTCAAGTTTCTTTGCCAAACAATACCAGATTAGTTAGTGTTGGATTTTTTATTTTAAAATAAAAATATATTCAGTTTCCTTTTGGAGCATACTATGTGAAAATGATCATCTCACTCCCATTCTTTAAAGTGTGTCTCATTTGTATATCCTAACTAGAATACACCACCAAAAGAGTAGCATTGGGCATGACAGTATTACAGCCAGGAAATTCTTACAGAACCAGTGTTTTGTTTATAACTGTTATTTCTTTATCTATACAGTCTTTTTCTTCATTTGACTATCTGGCTAGCTCTCTTAACTTCTCCTGTTTTATTAATGCATTGTTGTTGTTCTTATGTGCCGTCGAGTAAGCCCCGACTCATAGTGACTCCTCCTTGGGTTTCCGAGGTGGTATCACTATAGAAGTAGATTGCCCAACCTTCCTTCCGAGGAGTAGCTGGTGGGTTTGAACCACCAGCTATGCATCAGTATATTTTGAATAACAAACATGCTTTCAGGTATATATTAGTGATGTGCTAGTTAACCGGTATTCTAAAAACAACAAAGCAACTAAACAAAATAGACCTGATTTGTGGCATTTGCCCCTTTTCATGGTATAAATACTCCAACCATAGATGATTCAAATTATCACTGTGATATTACAGAATGTGGACTTGGGAAGAGATGCACACAGCATACCACAATGACCTGGAGATAGCTGGCTCCAGCAGACCTTGTGAGGAATAAATCCTGCCTCAACTTTGTGCTAAAAGTAGACAAGTAACATTTAGCACAGAGGCTGGCAAACTTTTTTTTCTGTAAAGGGCAAAAAGGTAAATACCTTAGGCATTTCTGACCAAACTATTTTGCAAACTCAACTCTGCCCTTGTTGTGGATAAGCAGCCATGTTCAAAAGCAAGTGCGGCTGTGTTTCAGTAAAACGGTTTTTATCCCTAGGGATCACCTTTCAGCCAAGCAACAGGCCTATAAAGTGAACAATAACACCCAAGAGGAATGTGCTTCTCAGAAAAATCAACCACCGGAGACCCTGCGGACAGCAGAAACAAGGCCTGGAGGGCAGGAAGGCGCAGGAAAGAAGGACTACTGGAGACAGGAACCCAGGAAGGAAGTGGGAAGAGTGCTGTTACAATGAAGGGACTGCCACTAATGTCACAAAACACAATGTGCATAAATTGTTGAACTGAAAACTAATTTACTCTATAAAAATCCACTCAAACCACAATAAAAATAATAAAAGTATTTTTTACATGAACACTTTGTGTCTGTGTTTGGCTTGTTTAGTTTACTGACTCTTGACCTTAACATGTACTGAATCATCTTCTCATATTTTTGTGGCTCTGATTTCAATATAGTTTTATTATCTATGAAACATTAATTACCAGGTAAGCAAAGTGTCCTTTTTTTAAATAAAATTGCACCAGTCAGAAAAATTCTTGAATAATTAGTCTTTTGTAAACAAGATAGTTCCATAGCTAACCAACTGCCAAAAAGGACAATGCAATTGATAATAAAATAAATATAGTAATGTATATATATTCTTTCATATTGTTGTTGTTGTTGTTGTTATGTGCCGTCGAGTCAAACCCGACTCATAGCGACCCCTCCTTGGGTTTCCGAGGCAGTATCACTACGGAAGTAGTATTGCCCAACCTTCCTTCCGAGGAGTGGCTGGTGGGTTTGAACCGCCAGCCGTCTGGTTAGCAGGCAAGTGTCTTAGCCACTATGCCCATAACCAACCTTAAGGAGAGAGATTTATCCTAGACAGTAAAGGAAAACATGCATATTAAATTAACATATATCTAATAAGAACACATTCATTTTAATTTATTTTGAAGTATCTTGTTCTTACCTTCCATAAGCTTCCCTGTCTGTTCTGCAATTCCACCAGGAAGAATCTTGGCAATGTAGGCCCCAATTTCTCCATTATGTCCAGGAATTTCTTTACCACCCACAATTCTAATTCCTAATCCATTTCCTGTATTAAAAAATGCAAATTATTAGTAATAATTAACAAGGGACAATAGTTATCACAAGTTGGAAGGTGCATAAAAGAAGTTTCAGGTTGGGTTCTATTACCAGAAGGTAAATACAATATGGATCTTGAAGTGTACACCAATAAGAAAAATATTCTGATTTCAGTAATAATTGATTTGTGATAGGAATTCCTGAGATCTTGGTAGGCTCTACAAAGATTAAGCTAACATCAACAAATTAATTTTGAATTATATTCTCAGCCATATACTAAGGCCTTGTGAACTGTTGACCAGATACTTTGTGAAAATGTCTATGTTCCTTGTGGAAGAAACTCCAGAGCGTACAATTCACTTATAAAACACAGTAGCATTTTATCTTACAGAAAAACAGTATTGGCTAATGTAATTGAGGAGACACAATCCAAATATACAAATGATTACAATCAATAAAATATAAACACAATAATTATAAGTTATTTTTTTATTTTATAGCCTTAACTTACTAATAAAGTCCATGCATGAATAGGAAGGCACTTACTACAAAGAATAAGAAAATTATTCTGAAGTGATGAACAAGTTTGTCAACTGTTCCTTACTCCACCGAACAGGTTTACCTTTAATTAGCTAAATGGAATGCAGATTCAGAATGGCAAACCTAAATGAGATCAATACAAGGTACTGGCATTTAAGTTTGTGTACATATAGGTATATATATATATATGTGTGTGTGTGTGTGTGTGTGTGTGTATGTTGTTGTTGTTGTTGTTATGTGCCGTCGAGTCGGACCTGACTCATAGCGACCCCTCCTTGGGTTTCCGAGGCAGTATCACTATGGAAGTAGATTGCCCCATCTTCCTTCCGAGGAGTGGCTGGTGGGTTTGAACCGCCAGCCTTCTGGTTAGCAGTCAAGTGCCTTAGGCACTATGCTACCAGAGCTCCTTCTCTAGTGATTGGTCACTCCTAATAATAGCCCAAAAAATATGAGTCACAGTCTCACAATCCTTGTTTCTAAGCAACATTCTGGCTGTACTTGTTCTAAGACAGATTTGTTTGCTCTTCTGGCAGTCCATGTTTATATTCACTATGCTTCACCAACATGATAATTCAAAAGCATCAATTCTTCTTTGGACTACTATGGTAGTTAAGTTTGTATGTCAACTTGTCTGGGCTTGGTTGAATGGCTGGGCAACTGATGGTAGTTATTTCCCATGATGAGACGGGGCAATCAACTCCATGGTGGGATCTACCACATGCAGCTGAGTAGCTGCCTTTGGGGTGGAACCACCATAGCCCCCTAAGTTTTAAAGAGTTAGACCTTCATCAACTCAGTTCTGGAGTGTGGGGGTGATTGTTTATGTGAGCCAGTGGGATGGAGTCAGCTGCTGACCAAGAATGAAGGGGCAGGGCTGCCATGCCCAAGAGAGAGAGAGGAATGGGGCTTGCCAGGTCAAGGGGGTGAGGTCACCATTTAGAGGAACTAGGGGACTGGAGCCACCTAGTGAGAGAAATCTGTACAGATGCTACCCAGTGAAGCTCTGTACAGGTGCCAAGTTGACAAGGGGTAGAATTGTGGTAGTTAAATTTGTATGTCAACTTGGCTAGGCCTGGTTGAGTGGCTGGGTAGCTGGTGGTAGTTATTCCCCATGATGAGACTAGCAATCAACTCCATGGTGGGATCTACCACAAGCAGCTGAGTAGCTGCCTTTGTGATGTGGTCTGCTTCCTGTATATAAGGAGAAGCCTTGGGGATAGTCTCTAGCTTATAGCACGCTTGGATGCTGTACGTAGCTGTGTCATTGTTCAGCGGCCTGCCATGCTCTGCCAGCCTTTGGACTTACAACGGACTTAAATTAATGGCCTGCCATGTGGTTTGGTAACATTAGGACTGTGCCATTTTATTTTGTCGACCTTAGGCTTGTTAGCCTCAGCAGCCAGTAGCTGCCTGAGTGAAGAGATGCCTCTAGCTTCAGTGGGCCAGGAGCAAGAGGCAGAGCTGAAGCCCAGGGTCGAGGGGCTTTCACACAGCCCCTAGAGCCTGGCACTTTGAACTTGGATTTAAAGCCTCCAAACTGTAAGAGAATAAACTCCTGTTTGTTCAAGCCATCCAATTTGTGGTATATTCTTGTCAGAGTGGCACTAGGTAACCAGAACAACTACCTTATTCATTGTTTTGCTTTTGCATGCATATGAGGTAACTGAAAATACCATAGCTTGGGTCAGGTGTACCTTAGTCCTCAAAGTGATATCTTTGCATTTTCACACTTTAAAGAGGTCTTTTGAAGCAGATTTTCCCAATGCGATACGTCATTTTATTTCTTGAATGCTGTTTCCATGGCATTGATAGTGGATCTAAGTAAAATGAAATTCTTGACAACTTCAATCTTTTCTCTGTTTATGATGATATTGCTTATTGGTCCAGTTTTCAGGATTTTTGCTCCCTTTTTGATAAGGCATAATCCATACTGAAGGCTGTAGTCCTTCATCTGCATCAGTAAGTGCTTCAAGTCCTCTTTACTTTCAGCAAGCAATGTTGTGTCATCTGCATATCACAGGTTGTTAATGAGTCTTCCTCTAATCTGGATGTCACATTATTCTTCATGTGGTCCAGCTTCTTGGATTATTTGCTCAGCACACAGATTGCATAACATGGTGAAATGATACAACCTGATGCACACTTTTATTTTATACCATGTAATTAAGACATTTATTTTAAACCATGTAACTGAGACCGTATCCCAGTCTTAGTTATCTAGTACTGCCATGACAGAACTACCACAAACAAATACTTTCTCACAGTGAAGAGGCTGGAGGTCATAAGTGAGGGCACTAGCTCTAGGGGAAAGTTTTCTCTCTCTGTAGGCTTGGGGCAACGTCTGTCTTCAGCTTCAGTTTCTTAGCTCCTTGGTGATCCTCACCCGTCATGGCATACATCTTTCCCTACTCTGCTTGCTTAATCTGCTTTTCTGTCTTCAAGGAGATTGATTTAAAACATACCCTACACTAATACTTCCTGGTTAATGTAAAAAATGGGATTATAACCACATCTGTGGGGGTTAGGGCTTACAACATGTATTTTTAGGGGATATAATTCAATCCATAACAATCTTCCTCTTCTGTTCAAACAACTGCATCATAGTCTATGTATAGGTTCTACATGAGCACAATTAATTGTTCTGGAATTCCCATTGTTTGCAAAGTTATCCATAATTTGTTATAATCCATATAGATGATTGTTTCTGGGTAGTCCATAAACCACCAATGAAAACCTTACAGACAGAACACTGTCTGATATAGTGCTGGAAAATAGGTCCCCCAGGTTGGAAGTCACTCAAAATAGAGTCGACCTTAATGATGTAGAGTAAAGCTTTTTTGACCTTCTTTTGCTGAGATGACATGACTCTGAATGAGAAGAAACAGCTGTAAATATCCATTAGTGATCAGAACTTTTACAAATGAGCTAATAGGTATACTTTTTGTTACAAATGTCAATGGTATTTTATAATGAAAATACCAAAGAAGGAAGAGTTCTTCACCTTCAATGACAATAAAATTAATTATCTTTTAAAATTAAAATAAATAAAGTACCATTTTCTACTCTTTCCCTTAGCCACCATCTACAAAGTTCAAACATTTAACAACCAGTAACACTAAGTTATTAACCCTTCTGTCATTTATCAAGGAAGGCCATATCAGGTAACATTTCTTCTCATCCTTCCACCTGATGGGATACTTCCACAAGAATTTATTTTCTCCATCCCTCCCTTCCTTCCTTCTCTCCTTCCTTCCTTCTCCACTTCCTTCCCTGCTTCCGTCCCTCCCTCCTTTCCTCTTCCCTTCCTTCCATTCTTCCTTTGTTTCCCTCTTCTCTCCCTCTCCTTCCCCTCTTCCAAATCCTCTCTCTTAATGTTGACCAGAGTAAGTGTTCTGAAAGTTTAGCTTAATTATATGCTTGTTATATTGGTGTTAATGATTTATAGTTTATCAAAATACTAGCTCACCCTCACCTATTTGTGGAGTTTTTATGCCACATTATCTTGACCCAGCACACAGTTCTTAGCAGAGGTTAATTAATGACATAAATTGAATACACCTAGATGAATGGAGAACATTATCCAGGATATGACTTTGTAAGCCCTTTATAAGTCTTAGAAGACACAACTGAATTCTTAGATATTACTGTTTAATGAATCAACAGGACCAATTCTACTTAGTAAGACATTAGAAAGATGTGAATAAAGATAGCAGATGAACTCTTACTATCCCCTCTTCAATCAACTTTCAGGACCTACCTAACAGTCTAGCCTAATTTTTTGTGTGTACTGAGAACAATTTGGAATTTTCAAAATTAAAGTTTTAAAATAGTCTGCTGTAAATAGAGTATTCCCTGAAATTTTTTTATATAAAAAATTCAGATTTTTTAACCAAAGATTTTGTTTCACTTTCCATGTTGATTTCATGTAAACTCAGAGAGATATCAAGTTTGGTAGGTAATTTGTGATGTGATTGGTATATTTATATAAATTTTAAAACATAATCCATCTGAGATTACAAAAGGTGGTTCACAAGGTTTTCTTAGAGTGAAGAGGCAGGTTTGAGATTATGTCTAAATGTCAAAATTTCTCATATAATTTGTGCTAGAGTACAGCAGAGAGTTCAGGGCATTGGCATTACATATTTCTCTGCAAGTTTAAAAGTTAGAATATAAACATGACCTAGAAAAACTAATTTTAACACATTATAAGTTTAATACCATATAATTTATAGTTCAAGCATATGTTTAAACTTACGATTCATACACTGTAAAGGTTGGCAATAGGAGTAGCTATAGAACTTTAAAATCTATTAACTAGAATAATTATTTTTTTTTTAAAAAAATATGGTTATTTTTTCCTTTTATAGATGGAAATGTCTTGAGGCTTAAGTAGTTGGGTCCTTAGTGCCATTTGAATTTTAGTAACTAAGGACATTCTCAACTGTATAATAAAGGACCAGGCATTAGGAA